ATCCCTGCTGCCCCCCACTGCCCCATGCTGCATGGGGGGTTTTGTCATGAGCCCCCTTACCCCCCTCCCACTCCCTCAGCCCCCCCTATGGCTGCTCTGCCCACCCCAGCTCCAGCCCTTTAAGAAAAAAAAAAACGAAAAAAACCCCTGCCTCACCAGCTCCTGCAGTGGCCTTGGGGACATGGCACGGAGCAGCAGTGATAGCTCCCCACCAGACAGGAACCGGCCATCCTGGGGTTTTTTCAATTTTTTTTTTCCTTAAAGGGCCAGGAGCTGGGGTGGGCGGGGCAGCCATTGCTGGGGCTGAGAGAGCGGGCAGGGGATGGGCCTGCATTATTTGGAGATTTGGCAGCAGCCAAATCTCCAAATCAGAATCAGCCAAATTGTTTTGGGACAGTGATTCAAATCACCGAATGGAATCGTTGTCCCCCAAACTGGCTGAATCCGAATCCAAAGTGAACCCTAGCCACTTTGCACAGGCCTAGTGATTATTCTACATCTTTATTCACCTCAATATTTTTGAAAGCTTGTCCCCAAGCCTTCAACAAAATCTACACAGAGAGTTTCCTTTCCGATAGCTGACCTAACAGTGAGAGGAAAACAGCAACAGCATGTCACAAACAATTCGGTTAACAGTGTTAAAAAAGCTCTCTAACACAATACTTCAGCTATGATGCCAAAACATGCTGATAAGAATATGAGGGCAAAGGTTACTCTCTCTCTCCATGCAAAGATAAACACATGAATGGCAGTAGAAACTGAGTAATGAAAACAGTTTTATTCATACTAAAAAACAAGGTTAAACAGAAATGGCTCTACTTATCAGAATCTCTATATTAGTAAAAGCTTTTTGAAACAAAAATAGAATTAATCTGTAAATACATACCACAAGAAGGTCATTAAACAAAAATATTTCTCGCTGGTGCAATCCAAGCTTCTGAGGTTTATTTGGGTCTGGAACTTCAAAGAGCCTACAGTAGCAAACAAGTCTCCGGTGGGGCAGAGAGAGAACCTATGATAGATAGAAAAGTCTAGTGCTTATCTCAGTTAATAAAGAGTGCCTTTTTTGCCTAGTCTTCAGTGGTATGGCATGAGTGCCTTTTTTTGCCTAGTCTTCATTCTAATACCTGCCTAGTCTTCATTCCAATACTTCTAATGTCCTTAAGACCTTGAGACCAATGGTAGACTGTTTTTTACATCAAAGGATGAGCAATCTAACAACACAGGTCTATTTACTACAGTCTCTCAGTGATATGAAACATAATGAAATCATGATGTCAAATATTTTGTAGGGATTTGTGTAGCCTCCACAGTGAAGCAAATGGATCAGTGGTCAGGATCAGGCCTTCGGTAAAACAGTAAAGGAAAAACTAAAAAGTATGATCACAAAGCAAAACAGGTTTGCTTGACTGCACACTTTTGTAGTAGGTCTGATACTAAACAAGGACTGCAAAATTATTTTAGCTTTTTGATTTCTCTTTTCCTCATCAGAGTTGAAAATTCAATTTGTGCATTCATGAAATCAATGAAAATTTGACATGAGAAAAGAAATAAATGCATTCTCAGTCTGAGTTCTCTTTCATGCAGACTAGAAATCTGAGAATTACTTTCCTTTTTCTTACTTGAAATATCTCTGCCTAACTCGTATACAGAAAACAGTTATTTCTCAACATACTGAAGTTGTGTGTCTTTCAAATGCAAATGAAATTATCCTGGCAATCATCCTAGAAAGGGACACTTTAAACTTTTTAAATGTACAGTAGAGAATATGCATTTACTACTACATTTATATTTCTTATTTTAAATCTCCTAGTCTTCCGTAAGAGCTGGTTACAACATGCAATTCTGTTTAGAAATGCATAAATAAGAAGAAAATTAATAAAACAAGTAATCTAAAATATTCCAGGCAACATATTATACATTTTTAGTAGGGCTTTGTACCCAAGAACCTGAACTGGTGTTTACGTGTTTCTCCTTTGTTAAGGACAGCAGAAGTTTTCTTGAAATTAACTACTTCAAGATGACCACATTTTGAAAAAAAGCATTTTGAAGTTCAATAGAAAATGTTACTGTCGTTTAGCAATAATCCTGCATATTAAACTACTGTTATTTCTGATTAATGTGGATTACAAATCATGAATCAATATGAAAAGAAATACCTACACAACCAAGTCCATGATGCAAAGATCCAATCTACAGTAGAAAGACACATACAAGTTTGTTAAACTTCAGAGAAACAGTGCTGTATCATAGCAAGTAAATACTTCATGGTCTTCCTGGACACTTTTACGATTGCTCCGACGTGTTCTGATGAATCAAGTCTGCTGGAACATCTCATGTATCAGCATCCCTGCATTTCAAAATGGCAGCAAGGGCACTTTAACCAAAGCTCATCAAGTAAGCTTTAGTTAAAGCACCCCAGCTGCCATTTTGAACTGTGGGACACTGAATACGCAAGACACTGTGTTTTAGAGTGACTCCTGAGAGCCGCTTTAATTAAAACACATTCCCCCGCACCCAGGAGCATGTGTATAGGTGTCCACTTGACCAAACCCCTATAAAGTAAAAACAAACATCTCTAGAAATAAAGAGAATTGGCTATTTCTGATACTTTGTTTTACAAAATAATCTCCAACTCCTCATTAAGGCCTGTGCCTCCAGGAAAGCTGTTCAGTGTTCTTATCTTCATTCATTTCATGGGGTAAGGACAATGAGGGATCAAGCCCTAAGTTTGGGATATTATTTGCCTGAATCAGACAGAAGCCAGAAAAAAATACAGCCACTGCAGAATCACAGTAAACTAAAAGGCCTGCTTTTGAAAGGTTGAGATTTTTCTTCCTCTTGCATTGAAATAATGTTTGCTACTGAAGGAAGCTACAGCTTTCTCATAACTTAGAGATGATACAGTTTTTCTCCCACCATCCTTTCCACTTCTTTTTGCAGGTCCTAAGTCCTCCCTCATGTCCAGATTCCTTCCATTTGTGACAATTCAGAAGATTTTTTTCACCGTGGAACACTTTAAAACAGGGGCAGGCAAAATATGGCCTGTGGGCCACATCCGGACCACAGAGGGTCTTTGTCCAGCCCGCAGCAGGTCCTTCAGTACCACCTGGCCCAGGCACAGTCCAGCCATGGTGCATCCTGCCACCTTCCAGGCATGCAGCAGGGCTGGAGAGGCTTCATGGCTTGACTGCCTTTCTAGGCAGCCCAGGTGGTGGCGGCTCCTTCTGGCTGCCACCAGTACCACCAATGGCCCCAGCCCCGTGGTATTGGTGGGGACCTGTCCACACATCCCCACCCCAGCCTGCCCCAAGCCTGCTCCAGGCTTGCCCACCCAGGGTCAGCAGTGGCAGGAGCTTGGCAGCAACTGCTGCTCAGCATAGAAGAAAAGCGACCCTCCCCCTTGCTGTTGTGGGGCTCTTCCTGCTGCAGTTGCCCAGAGCCCCGGTGGGCTGTCCTGTGGGTGCTCTGCACTGCCAACGCTGCCCCACTGGGCAGCCTGGAGGTGGTGGTAAGGGCAGCAGAGATGCAAGGCAGCCCAGTACAGGCTCTAGGTGCCTGCAGCAGGAAAGGCCTGGCAATTGTGAAGGGGAGGGGCTGCTTTTCCTCTGCGCTGAGCAGCGGTTGTTGTCCGGCAGCCTACTGCTGCTGCTGAGCCTGGGCAGGTGAGTCCAGAGCAGGCACAGGGTGGGCCAAGTTGGGGCTGTGCAGTGCGGGTCCCCATTGGCCAGTGGCGGTAGCACCTGGAAGGAGCCACTGCTCACTGGGCTGCCTAGAAAGGCAATCCAGCTGCAGAGCTGCCCTAGCCCTGCTGCATCCCCGCCCCAGCCCTGCTGCATCCCCAGGGGCTGACAGAATGTGCCACAGCTGCGCGGTGCAGAGTAGGCATGGGGCAAGCTGGGGTCAGAGCTGTGTGCATGGATTCTGGCTGGTCTGCTCTGGTGCGGTGAGTCTAGAACAAACAAAGTGTGAGGCTGGGGCTGCGTGCTGTTGGCAGGGAGGCACTGCATGTCATGCAGACTCCGGGCTGTTGTGGGGCAGGGGCTGACCAGCTCAGGGAGCTGAGCACAGGGGTCTCCCATGAACACCCCACCATACCCACAAACCCTCCCCCATAAATCCAACAATCGCACCCTCCCGCACACACAATCACACACCCCACAAACACCATGCCCAACCACCGCACCCTCCCCCACACCTCCCCACATGCACACCTGCATGCCTCTGCAGGGAGACCTGCTCACTGCTATGCCCCACCACACTCATGCACCCAGACCCCACCACACACACCTGT